TTTTCCTTTCCACTGTTGCCACTGTGCTTGCTCAGGAAGGGAGACTGTGATGAAGTGAAGATTCAACTTGTCTGCTGGCCCCTTTAGATAGAGAACTTTACTAACGGGCTTTTCCATGTGAATGTTCCTGTAAAGTGCCCTGAGACAACTTTGTTGTGATTTGGCTCTATATAAATAAACTGAACTGAATTGAATATTTTTAGTCCTGTTGTTTAGTAAGTGTACTAAGCTTTTGCTTGGTTGAAGCTTGTTCTTCTGTGTTTTCTCTTCGTATCACCATTTTATATCATTCTTTCTACAGTTTTTCAATGTGGACTGTTATTTAGGACTTCCTGGACTTCTTTGTATGGTCTGGAGACGGTGGTATTGATAAAAAGACAGACATGGTCCACAAAACTGAAATTTATTTTGACATTATGGTAAGAAATAAATCTTTTCATGGGCCTTGTAGCGTTGGCTCTGAGTGAAGCTGCTTGGTTAATTTATTCTCACTTGATGCGATCACGAGGAAAGGAAAACTGTCTCAGGTTTAGCACTTAAGTGTGGAAATGGTTGAAAAAGAAAACATGAATTATATTATACTTAATGTGGAAACAAAACACTGCTTGTTTTTATAAAGTTGTGCATTTTCTACAGAAGTGTTTCATTTAGCTAATCGTTCTGCTAATTGGTGCTTGTGCTAATTAGGTGAAGTGTTTTTAAAATGTGCTTTAGCAATTATAAAAAAACTAATATCCTCATACAGTTGCTGTAAGTTTGATGGGTGTAATGTTTTTACCAGTACTTTACATGTTTGCTGATCTTACAGCAAGAAAAATGGAATATATTTTGCTTTCACTTCCGTGGTGATTGATTTATGGTCAAATTAATATCTTGGTCAGTCGGCAGCGTTTCTCCTGCTCCGTTTTCCAAACTGAGCTCGAGCAAATCTATTAAAAACAACTACAAAATGTTCACAACCCTTCCACAGAACCCCACGTTACAGTAAGCTACTTCATTTCTCATCCAGTTCCTTTCAGCTCTCAGCCACCATCTGCGTCCTCCAACCACCTGTCACCGAGTGGAAGTGGAAGCTGCGTCCGTGCTGCAAGGAGCGATTCGGAGGTTCATCCACGAAACCTTTTTCTGTTTGAAGAAAACAAAGACAACAAACAAAACAGATCCTGCATTTTTTTTTTTTTGACAGAGCTGTTGTTGAGCTGAACTGGTGGGCCTCTGAACGATGATGATGATGATGAATATTCAGCTGGGTGAGTGTGTGAGCTCAGCAGTCCAGCTGGAGATGTGTGTGTGTGTATAGTACAGTACATGCACCTCTGTGTGTGTGTGTGTGTGTGTGTGTGTGTGTGCAGGTTGGTAGCAGATTGCACAGAGCTTCAAAGTGCAGTGACTGACACAGATGGATGACGGACAGAACTCTGTGAGGTGTGTGTGTGTGTGGAGTGAAACGGGGCCTTCTGAGTGGCACGAGGCTCTCTGCCAAGTGATTGAAGTGATAAAGGTAGAGAGGGAATGGAGAGGAGGTGGGGGGAGAATAGATGCAGTGATAAACGACCAGAGGAGAGGCTGCAGATGTAATGAAGTGTGTTTCTTGTCTCTTTGATATATTTTCGCCTCTTATGTGTTTTATATGTTGCTCCGTCACGTCCCCAAATCTGCTCGTCGCCTCCGAGAGGCCGAGTGACGGGAATCCAAAGGAACCAGGAGTGGATTTTCACCAGCAGCTCAGTTGTTTTTGCTCCGTTCAGCCATGTGAGGGCACACTTAACCTGCGATGAGCTGCATGTGCTCAGCTCATTATCTGTTCTGTGCCAGCTCACTCATGGTGGAGGAATATTTACACGAGGGCGAGAGCGAGCCTTTGAAGAGCTGGACCTGCAGTATGCAGAATTAACGACGAAAGGAGGCAGCGAATACCAAACCGTCTATTCAACACAAACTGACGCACACAGTCTTGAAACCAGCTGCAACATGAACTACTGTAGATCCAGGTTTGCACAGAGAGATATGATATTTCAGAAGGGGAAGGTTAACCGCGTGCAAAACTCTTTGCTCATCAGACACAGCAGGATTAGCACCGTAGTGAGTGTGTGTGTAAGAGTGGAAGGGAGGAGGGGGAGAGAAAGAAGGAAGGTAACAGGTGCTAATCAGAAAGGGAGTCCCAGCTGCAGAGGAGAGGGTAAATCTGTGGTGGGGAAAGCAATTACATCACCTTCCTAACAATAATGTCAGTGCAGACGGTGTTGTCTGTGTGAGGAACGCAGTGCACGAGAGAGGCTGTCAAAGTGGAGGTTTAATACCAGCACAGACAGAGTGGGTGGATGGCACCTGAAAGAGTTGGTTTGTCTGCAGCAATCTATTACATTTAGGTCCTCGTTCATTTTGTGCTCCATTAAGTGTTCCATGGCAACCCTTAATTGGGCCGCGTGGAGCTGTTGTCGTCTGATTTAGTGGATCTGTCAGAGTCGTTCTCTCCGACATCAGATAAAATGACTTCCAGTGTCGTTTTTTTGTTTCGTTGACAGAAGAAGAAGAAGAAAAAAACATCCCAACTTTTCAGCGTCGCCCCCTACGTCACCCAGTCCCCTCGCTCCTCTGTGACATGCTGAAGCAGCACACGCCGGCCTGTCTGTCAAAATGGTGGAACAGGTGCTCCACTCACTCACTCACTCACCCCCACCCCCTCTACTCCCCCTTCCATGGCCCATAGCTACACATGAAAACACTCCCCTACATGTTCGCCCAGGTGAACTTTGGTTGAGATGGAGGATTTTTGCTGTAAAGGTGCAAGCCGACTCCCTGACCTGTGGCTCTTTGCGTCTAACGCACGCACACACACACACACACACACACACACACACACACACACGTGTGCACACGCACTACTAAATCACTTCAGGAGGGTGACCCAAAGGTAACTTGACAGGAGCACATGAGCCTGCAGTCCTGCTGCGGTACATAATTTGATGCGAGGCCAAAGCGCTCCGGGGCTCCTCCAGTTGCCGTGTAATAAACCTCCTCTTTATCCTGGTTTCACTTTTCTACCCGTCACATTATGTGTCAGCTCAGCTCCCTCGTGTTGAGGAGCTGCGCTCATTTCACCGTGCGCGAACACAAACCCACTCGCTGTCTTTGAGTCTCCGTCACCCAGCCAGCAGGTGTCAGGGGACTGGCTTTGGAGGGAGGAGGGGGTGAGGTTTGACAGTCCCTCACAGTTGGCACTGAGGATCTGGGATGCTTTAGGGTGGACAGAGGAGGGGCAGAGGTGGAGGGGTTTACAGAGGAAGAGGACGAATACACAGGAACAACCTTTAGAACGGAGCAGAGAAACTGAGACGTGAAGGCGGAAAAAAGGACATGAAAAGAACATGAAAGAAAGAAACAGTCATTAACCGCACTAGGAAGTTGTCTCTTTCCCTGCTCTTCCTCCGTCTCGCACCTCTCTCAATTTAATCTTAAATCCACTTCAATTCCTCCTGAGGGACTCAATTCTCCTTTTTTCCACTGTAAGTATTCTCTTTCATTCTCCGGCTTTTATTCTCTTTGTGTTGCCAGAGTGTGTGTCAGTGGCCTGCAGTGAAACAATGAAATCTCAATCACCTTCTTGTTATGAGACGGCATTAATGAGTCAGCGGCCTTATTCTGGACTCTTTGGGCCGTGATTAAGTGAAGAGAGTGTTTGTAACCTCACTTGTTCTGAAGCATGTGCGTGTTTGTACTTTGGCCTCCTACAGGCTTCCTCTGGGTGTCCTGCTGCCGGCCGCTTCACTTCAACTCAATTCATTTATTTATATAGCGCCAAGTCACAACAGAAGTCGTAAAATAATAATTTAACATTATTTCTCTGAGGAGCAGACTGCTTTGAGTTTAACTCCAGCTTGAGCAAGCATGAAGGCGACAGTGGAAAGAAAAAACTCATGAGGAATAAACCTTTAGCAGAACAAGGCTCAGGACAATCTGCTTCCACCAGTCTGGGTTTGAGAGGAACAGATACACAATGGCAGGCCGATAAGCACATGTTAAGATAGAAGATGAAAACTATAACAAATAATTTAAGGAAATGAAGTCAATTTGTCCTCTAGTAGTCTAAGCCTATAGCAGCATAACAAGCCAATCCCAACTATAGGATTTATCAGAAAGGAAAGTCTTAAAACTGGACCATGTGTCAGCCTCATGGACAAAAACTGAAAGTTGGTTCCACAACAGAGGAGCCTGATAACTGAAAGATCTTCCTCCCATTCTGCTTTTGGAAATTCTAGGAACCGCGAGTAAACCTGCAGTCTGAGAGCGAAGTGCTCTGTTAGGAAAATATGGAACAGTAAGATCTTGAATATAAGATGGAGCTAGGTTGTTGAGAGCTTTGTAAGTTAGAAGCAACAGTTCAATATTGATGTAGAGTTCTGTGAGCGTGCGCACTAATGCAGCGTGCGCAGATTTACAGTAGAGCACGACTCTTTGTGTTTGTTTTGGTGAGCAGTGACTGCAAAACGTTTGGAGGCGTTTGTGTTTGTCCGTCACAATCGTGTCCTCCGGCGCCGACGCCTCGGTCTCTGCTGGGGTTTCTGTCACCGTCGCTCATGCAGGCTCGGCTCCCCCGTCTCCCCTCTGGCTCCTCGCTCCGTCTCTTGTCTGTTTAATTCTGCGTGTCGTTAGCTCTGTCTCTGACTGTGGGTGGGCCTCGGTGACACTCCGTGTGATTATGACAGGCTGTCTGTAGGGAGGCCCGCTGTTTCCGACTTCAGTCTGCCTGCAGGTCTGACGTGTCTTTATTTCCCCCAGTCCATCTCGGCTGTGTGTGTGTGTGTGTTTGTGTGTGTGTCCATCGATATCGGTTTTTGCCCATCAGTAGATTAACAAGCATCTGTTGCTCCTCTGCTCTCAGCGACAGACAGAAGGCCAGAGGCCCGTTCCTCCTGGTAGGACGACACCAGGAGTTTCCTCTTTCTCTCTGCCTCCCCCCCCCTCCCCCCCACACACACACATCTCACCCACCCTCCACAATGACGCTGCTGGCTTCCGAGAGGTCGCTCCTCATCCGGAACAAATTCCGCACAGGTGAGAGTCTCGAGCAGGTGTTAATCGTGCCGGTTTAAGATGCAAAGGATTAAAACATTTTTTTTTTTACAATGATGTGGTTCTACGTCTGAGCCAGAACGTGTGACATGCCTATCATTATTCAGAGGGGAAACATTAGGAAATTAATAATTATTGAAAGCAAACGTGCAAAATGTGTCTGTGTGAGCCAGTGTGTGTCTGTCTATTAGCAAAATATCTCATGAACCCCTGGACAGATTTTAACGAGACTTGCAGAAAGCAATCATAGGTTGTACGTATACAACTGATTAACTTTTTGAATCAGCTTGATTCAAGATGGCCGCCACAGCCAACTTTTATGATAAAGCATTAAAATGGTGCATCTCCTTCGATTTTAGAAATGTTGAGCTAAAATCTGGTATGGTAGTAGCTGAGAGTGATACCCAAGATATTTTATGAGCACTCCCCGATTGTTCAAGAGCTTTCTTAACATTTTGGCCTTTAACTGTTTGGAGTTGACGTTGTCTGTTAACAAATTATCTCATGAACCACTGGATGAATTTTAATGAAACTTTCAGGATATTTTAATTGGATGTACGTCTACATCTGTTCACCTTCTGGAGTGGACCCAATTCAAGATGGCCGCCACAGACAACTGACCTTATAAAACCCCCAAATGGTTTAAACTCAATCACTTTTGCAGATATTGTACTAAAGTTTGGTTCGGTAGTAGGGAGAGTCATTCACAACACGTAACTATAACATTTCAGATAATGTTATTAAGATTTCATTAAATCTTATGCAATCATTTCTCAAGATAAGACAATCTCAGTTTTTAACTGGCATGAACAGAGGTGGTTGATGCATTCCTTCAATAAATGCTGATCTTTTCATTGAGGACAGGTGTTTTGAAAAGATGTTAAGACTATGAGACTGTGTTTTTTTAATTTAAAGGTGCGGTCACACTGGCATTAGATCCCTAGAGTATCAAATATTCATGAACAACAATTAAAGTTAACCTTTTAGAAAAAGACTAGTCTCCGGTGTTTTAAAAATTGAAAAGTGAAGAGCTTAACTTCACTTTTATTGCAGTCTTAAGTGTGGCTCAGGACACTTCAGAGAAGAGGCGGGTGTGAAAGAGCGTAGACGTGTTTTAACGTTTTAAGAAAAACAGTGTGGACAAATCTATAGACACGCACTGCAAATGATTAGAGATCCCATCTGCGCAGATCCCACGAGCATCCATGGCATTTTAATATGTTTGAATTATGGGTCCTAACTGCGCTGATTATTAATGGGCAGTATGGTCCTTTTTGTCTCAGCTGACTGGAGGAGCTCTGTAGCACACAGCTGTTATACTCACTTATAAAAAAACTAATAACCAATCAAACAAAAACCTGAAGTGATGTGAGCTTTTGAAGTGGGGTTCTGTGGAAAGGGTTCAAATAGTATTATCTTACCTGTTGTAGATAGCTCTATGAATGACCTCAGTTTGAAAAAAATATATAGAGTTTAACTCTAAACAGACTCAGAAGCGAACGGCTGGTCCAAATGGGATGAAAACCAAAGTGGCTTGTTGACATATTGAAACAACTTCATTTAAAAAATATTGCAATTTATTTTACCCGTTTCTTCCTTTTTGGGTTGCGGCGGTCACTGGTGCCCATATCTAGCAGTCACTGTGGTCTCCAGTAGTCCATTGAGATAAACAACCATTCGCTCTCTCACTCTCACCTAGGGATAATTTAGAGTTACCGACCAGCCTAACGTGCACGTTTCTGGTCTGTGAGAGGAAACCGGAGTACCCGGCGAAAACCCACGCATGCACGGAGAGAACATGCAAACTCCATCCAGAAAGGCGCCCGACCAGGATTCGATCCGGCGACCTTCTCGCTGAGAGTCAACAGCTCTACCAACTGCACCACCGTGCCGCCCACTGTAAAATCTTTTAACTTGGAAATGTTTTTATGCAGCAGCAATCCTTTTTTCTCGCCTCTCAATTTATTTCATTCAAAGAGTTATCTACAACAGGTAAGATATTAACTGTTCAAAACAGAACCCCACTTGAAAAATGATCTGACTCGAGGCTGCACAAGAAATTAAAATGATGTCAACATTGTAGTAATAGCGTGTGCAATATTAGTATTGCAAAGGATCGCAAACAAACTTATGCGGAAATGTTAATTTGCCCATCAGATGCACACAGCGAGTGTGGATGTTGTAATGACAGAACACATTGATTTATTATTGGTATTGTTGCATTATTCTATAATAAAACATGTTCCCTGTTTATATATAAGCTTACTATGTTCTGTGATGATCAGTAGCTCATCCTGTTGTAATTGAAGAGCGGTTGTTTCTTGAGTTGAACTGTTGTCCTTTTGGACAGCTCTTGCAAACAGCAGGGTTGGAACTTGTCAACAGTAATATGTGCCTCACTAAACGAACGAGGAGCGAACTAGAACTGGATCATTATTGGTTATTGGGACATGCTGTACGTCTGTGTGCAGGTTTGGCATCAACAACATAATCCATGACGGCTCCATTAGTCTGTTGCATCACATATTTGCATCTGTTGTTGACCTCATCCGTGCGCTAACCGTAGTGCAGCTGAACAGGAAGTGGTCGTCATCACACGGTTGTTGTTGTTTTAACAATGGTTTAAAAGTCAGGATTCTAACGTGGCAGGCCTCTGGCTTCACCCCAGCTGCACGTGGTGTGTATTGCATCTGTGCACCGTCGTGTTTTTTCACCTCACTTGTTAACAGATGTGCGTGCACCATGACAGCTTGACACACTTGTTTCTGCTTCGACTCAGACTGAGCAGCTGGTCTTTTGGGTGTTTTTTTGCTTTTTAAATGTAGAGTTCAGTATCAGGAGTTGGTTCGTTTAGCTATTCACTACTTCTGCTACCTAGCTATCATGTTCCTACATTTAGCTACTTCTGACTACTAGCTAATGTTCCCCTGCTTTCAACTAGGGCTTCACTATTTCTGGTTATTTGCTAAAAACAAACCAAAACAACAACAAAAACATAAAGAAAAAACAGCTAAACCCAAGAAGACACAAAAATGTGTTTAACATCCTATTGTGTGAATATTGAAGTAAAATTTGGAGTGGCAGGAGCTGAGCTACACACTGTGTGGCATCTTTACTCAAAACTTTGGCGTTAATGGTTTGAGTCAGCCCCGTTTGTTTGCTTGTTAGCAAAATATCTAATCAACCACTAAACAGGTTTCAATGAAACTAAAAAAGTACATCTACAACTGATGAACTTCTTGAGTTACCCCAATACAAGATGGCCACCGCAACTAATGGAACTTAGCAAACGCAAAAATGGCTACACGTCAGTCAATAGTCTAGATTTTGATGTGGTAGTAGCTGAGAGTCGTCCTCTACATCCTGGTATTTTCTGTTTGTAACTCTGGAATGTGAGGTGGCGGGTGATCCTTCAAAAACAAGCTTGGCTTTTATTCCCCCGTGGAACAGAAGACGTTATACGGTACAGTCTCAATGCATCATCACTGGACGGAGCGTTGCGTGCGTTTTTCAACACCCCAGCTTCAAGGTCACAAACCAAGGTCAAAGTTAAAATGAGGTCTTTGCTTGTCCGGGTCGCTGCTATATATTTCTGTATGATAGTTTGTTGACGTGCCGTATGTGCTACTTTTGTTATTTTAGCTATTGTGTGCAACTGATCTTGAGTTTTAATTCAGCAGCTTTAATGACGGCACATTTTAAGTCATATCCATTGATTACACCAATCGTTTTTGATTATTTATTTAGATGAGCCTTGACAATTGGTGTAAAACTTGTGTTTTGAAGCCTGTATAAAAATGTTACGTCAAGTAAAGCCTGGATGAAAAACGTTCTGCCATGCACGCTCTGTAATTTAGCAGATTTGATGCATTTTTAGCAGAAAGAAGGATGATAAATCTCAAACGTGGTACCACAGGACTTTTAAAAGGCCATTACAAACCAAACTTATTACTGGAAACTGAAACTGAACCTATTATCATCAGTAATGGAATGAATGCCTTTTTTCAGGGTACGAGCAGCGCTCTGTGACAAACGGCAACATTTCCATTTCTGCACACGGTAACGCCAGGTTTGCTACAAGTTGTAGTGGCGGCTGAATTCCCAGACAGCTGTCGTAAATGGCTGCAAAATACAAAGGCGTGAAAATGACATTCCCGTAGGTATAAAACCAGCTGCTGGAAAACGTGATTCTGCAGGCAGCTGCTCTGTTTGAAATACTGCGTGCACCTACTTGAGCTCGAGAGGACAATAAGTTAGTTGGACAGCTTCTGTTGTGCATGAAGGGTTTCTACTAAACGTCTAAAATATGAAATCCAAAGAGTTTATATATATATATATATATATATATATATATATATATATATATATATATATATATAAACATGCAGTTTTTTTTCTGAGCTATGAATCCTTAAAACAAATCGTTTATTGGCTGTCTATTATCACAAGTCGTATTTGACTTTATTGTGTAAAACATTTTAGACGAGACAATTTTTTAAAAATATATATTTTTAATATTTAGTTTAAAGTAAAAATATTCAAGTTTTGTGGACCCTTCAGTGAAAATGTAAAAATAAAAAAGACAAAAAACTGCCCAATATGACAGCAGTAGTTCAGATCTTTTGAAGTGAGGTTTAGCTGAAAGGGTATTATAAAAAGTGAGTATCTAACCTGTTGCAGATAGCTCTTTGAATGACCTCAGTTTTTAATAAATAAAGTTTATTCAGACTGACTGATGAACTAATGGCTAGTTCAAATGTGTCCAGTGCCGAAGGGGATCGGTCTCACCTTGAAATAACTCAAGTCTCAAAAATGTCACAGCAGTGTGAACGCTGATTTATAAACTTGTGCGTTTCTGTCAGTTTTGCATTAACTGCCTTTCGATTTTCTGCTTGTAGTTTGTTTTGTGTGCATTCTACAGTCAAACAACTTCTGCACACCTTTTGCTGTTTAAACCATTCACATATCAAATCATTCATCTTGTTATGGTGTAGTGGGCTATGCTTTTAAAACCTTTATACTTTTTGAGTCATTGACTGTATTCACAAAAAATACTCAAAATATAGATCAGTGCCTCTCAATTTCTTCAAAATCATTGCTATTGGAAATGTACGTCAGCACACTCGTGCTATTTTGTTTTCTTGTCCTCTTAGCTGCTGTCTTGCTAATTTGACCTTTTAGCTATGCTATTGCTACACTTACCACTTTGCTTATTTTAGCTGTTAAAGACATGTTAGCTCATTTTTGTTTTCAGTTATGGCTTTGATGTAAAGATTTTAGCTACAGTTTTGCTACCCTTAGCTTTAAACTACAATTTATATAATTTTAGTTTTTAAGCTACAATTTAGTAGCTAATTTAGTTTATGGCCAAAACCAATGCAGACATGTTCCTGTTATTTTACACCGCTTTAAAATGTAGAAATCATTTTCTTCCATTTATTTTTTTCAATTTATATGCCTTCTTTTAAGATTGTCGACTGTTGTCATTGTCGCCTACCGTTGTCATCATTCTTTGTTAAAAACAGGTCTCTCTTGTAAATGAGTCCTTGAGGCTCATTGAAACTAACCTGTATAAATAAAGGTTGAATGAATTGAAGAAAGGTGTCTAAAAAGTTGGAAGTAAGTCCAGAAGGGCCTTGTAGAGTGTATAGTTGTGTGTAGTAGGCTAAGAGAAGACCAGCCAGATTTGGAGTCCAGCTCATAGTTAGTGACTGTAGCCAGTGACGAACCTCAGAGCACTGTGGTAAACAGTGTCTACAAAGTGCTGATATTTGTGTGGGGCACTCGTGCAGCACACCACCATAGCCCAGTAGCAGCTATTAAGGTGTCCCTTACTCCAAGTGAAGAACAGGATTTATTTCTTAAATAAAAATCCAGCTTCAGCTCGAGTTTAGCAGCCATATTAGCAATGTGAGCTTTAAATGAGAGCTCACATTCAAGGAAAAAAATCCCAAGTATTTGTCATTTGAGACCAGTTCTATATGTTGTTAGCAGTGCTGAATTTGAGCTGGATCCTGCCGAACAAAATCCGAGAACTCTCTTATTTTGACAGGGTGCATTCCGGCAACTGTTTGCTCGGATCCAGCAACTCCCAGGCTTACTAATAACAAAGTTATGAACAAATATGACTGCTTTGAACGAATAAAATTTATATAATAATAATAATAATGTCTTCACAATGTCAGCACTGTATGTTTCCATACAATGGCGAAATTAGTCTCTGCATTTAACCCATCCACCACCAGGTGGTGCAGTGGGCAGCTATTGAAGGCGCCCGGGGGCATTTTGGGGATGAGGTGTGCTGCCCAGAGACACCACGTGGTATGCAGTGACTGGGGATCGAACCTGGGACTTTCGGGTCCCAAGCCGGCTGCCCTGCCTCTACACCATCTCGGCCCCAATATATTGGATATGTAAACTGAAAATAGTTGCATAAACACTCATTTTAAACACAACAGACGACACAACATGACTTCTTAATATCACATACGATCATCTGCCCCTTCAAGTGAAGAATTTCTGCCTCTACCACTAAAAAAAATCTCCGCCCCTAAAAGAGTGGTCGAGGTGAGTGCCTGGAGGTTTCACATGTGCAGTCGACAGTGAATTCATCGGAGAAGAGTTGGCTCGGGGGGGTGAATGCGAGTGTTTACAAGTACGTAGATGTTTAACAACCCATTAAAATACACCAAAAATGCAGGAAATCACATCTATTTATTCAAAATTTTCTGGAGGAAGACCACCAGAACAACCCCCATCCCCACACCCCCTCACCCCAGCCGGCCAGCCCACCTGCTATTTGCTTTCCTGCATTGATCAACTTACAAATTAAGCCCTGGCTGTTAGCAGTTCTATTACTAGTTCTATAACCTAAAACTTCTTTACCAGTTAAGCCTGTGGGGTTACTGATCTTTTGTTAGAAATTTACATGAGCTTTGTTTTGTTAGCGTTTATTTAGCATCAGATTTAGCTATGATTGGTTCATTTAGGGGCAGCACGGTGGCGCAACTGGTAGAGCTGCTGCCTCTCAGCGAGCAGGTCCTTGGTTCAAACCCCGGTCCAGGGGCCTTTCTGGGTGGAGTTTGCATGTTCTCTCCGTGCTTGTGTGGGTTTTCTCCGGGTGCTCCGGTTTCCTCCCACAGAACAAAAACATACATGTTAGGCTGATTGGTAACTCTAAATTGTCCCTAGGTGTGAGTGAGAGAGTGAATGGTTGTTTGTCTCGTTTGTCTCTATGTGTCCCTGTGATGGACTTGCGACCCGTCCAGGGTGTACCCCGCCCCTCGCACAGTGATTGCTGGACATGGGCACCGGTGACCCCCGTGACCCAAAATGGAATAAGCGGGTAAAGATAATGGATGGATGGATGGTTCATTTAGTACGTCTTTGTTAATTTTAGTTCAACTATTATTTGTTAACTTTAGCTTGATGCTATTCTTTAGCTAATTTTAGTTTTCATTTTGATTGTTTTAACTTGAACAATTCAGGTTACGATTTATTTCTCATGTTATTTAACTCGGCATTCAGAATTTATTTTATTTTATAGAATTTTTTTTACTCTAGTTTAAATAGAACCTTTAGACTGTTAGTAAGTAAAAATAGCAGCAGCAGCTAGCTATAGCACTTTTGGTGCAGTCTGGGGAACTTCTAGTGAAAATATTACAGAATCTGGAGAACTGACTGACAGTAGTTTACACAATCAGCTGTGAAAAGTTTGAGACTGGAGTCGTTTTAAGATGGCAACTATAAACTTTGATCTTCGCCGAGCTCGGTCTAACTGTTAGCTCATCAGTCTGTCAGAACCAGTAGTGTAGTGTATGTGATACGTGGGCATATGGAGTATACCCACTAGAAAAGCTCGAGAATGTCAGTACAACAACTTAAAAGTGCCCAATGATACATGATATATCATTAGGCACGTCATTGATATGTTAATTGGCAGTTAAATGCTTCTGTAACAATCTGTCTGTATGCAGCGCTTGTTACATTTGCTTATGCAGGAAATTATTGTATAATTAATACTTCTGTACTCACTACTTAATACTTGAACATGTTTTGCTTTGATACTGTTTTAATAATTCTACAACATTTTAAATACAAAGCCAACTGTTGTACAGTTTGTTGTACATTTATTCAAATGTAAGCATCAGAGAAAATTGGAAATGTTCAATACGCTTAAAAATCAAAATAAATTGACGATTACATTGTACTGACTGGTGTACATTGGTTTCTAAGCACAGTATACCCACTACAAAAATGTAGACTACACCACTGGTCAGAACACATCTCTGTTTTTCCAAGCTGATGTGGTTCAGACAGCCATCTTCAACAGGTGAGATAATTATTGTTCATGGAGTTTTGCACATAAATCCACATCAGAAGATCTGAACTATCCATCCAGATGACCTGGCAACTTTTTAAAAATTCTTATACCTGGATGATTGAGCTTACATCTGAACTATCCCTTTTAAGTGTAACCCCCCACCCCCCCAACCGTTAAATCCAGTTCTGTAAACTTTAGTTTTGAGTCGTCAGAGAGGCAAAGAAAGCAGGAAGAGTGTCGCTGGCAGCACAGATGAGCGTGACGTGAGTAGCAGAGGATGCATGAGAGGCTTGTGGAGAGAGCAGGACAGCTGAAGGGGGGATGGGACCAACAGAAATAGATATACAGAGAGATAAATAGTTACTGCCGTCAACCCCCCCACCCCCACTCCCGGCTGTACCCCGCCCCCCTGCACAGGCCCTGTCAGGTCTCTCGGGTCTCAATACATGCCAGAATGTATCTCAGGCCCATCCTTGTCCTGCTTCACCTGTTTGCGTGTGTGCTGAATGTTAATGTGTGTGTGTTGTTTGGATGTCTACAGGCATTCAAAGGGACACATTTATTTATTTTTTTCCACACACCTCAAAGTCATGTGGTAATATGATTTGCAGGGTGGTATCAGTTACCAGTCAGCGACCTGTCTGGTATTGATTATCTCTCACCTTCTACTGTCCATTGCCTCGATTTTTGTCTTTACATGTTTACTGCTTGTTCTTTTCTTCTGCTCATTTTTCGTTTTTGACTTTTTCAGTCCTTCAGCTGAGGATCCAAAACCGAAGGCTGAGTGAAATCAATGCCGACTCAGGTTAGTCCTAAATGTATGATTAACTTTGTGATTGAGCCGTTTGCACTGCGACTGCAGGTTGCATCTGTTAGAGGTGATGCTATGGAGTCACCTCTTTTCCCAGAAAGATGATGGATTATTGATTACTGCGGAGTTCAGTGCAGATTTCACATTATTGTCTGGCTTTTACGTTTTTTTTACTTGTGAAAAGGTGGAAAAGAGCAAATGTTCTGCTACTTTTTTTTAGAACAATAAAAGTCATGAAAACAGAAACATTTAAAAAAAAAAAAGTGTTTCCTATTTCCAGCAGCTAGAGGGTTAGCAATTCTGTTTGTTAGCAAAATACATCATGAATAATTGGATGGGTTTGGATAAAACTTTCAGGAAATAGCCACTACATCATATTGACTTTTGAAACTTATACAGTTCATGTTTGACTGACTGGGCAGACTTGCAGAAAACATGTTGCAGAACAAAAGTTAACTGTGCATTAACTGCACCAAATCTTAAACCCTCCTGCTGCGCTTGGGTCAAAATGACCCACAACACCTGATTCTCACCACTGAGGCCTCATGGGACATTTTGACCCAAGGGCAGCATTAAGCTTAAATATATGAACATAAGGACATAAACAAGAAATATTCATCTAGAAAAAAATTAAAAAGTTGGGCTCTTTGGAAAAAAAATACAAGGTGAAGAAAAATGACTCAAGACTTTTGCACAGTGCTGTTCAACAGCTTACGGTTTTATTAACTGAAAAATGTGTAAACACATAAAACTCACCACCACTTTATGTACAGAAATGTTGAAACACACATCTCCAGACCAGCTCACGTCTCTTTAGTGTTTAGATGATCCATCTTCCTGCTTCTTTTCTACTTGTTCCTGTATGTTTCTCTAAAATAATTCTAATATGACATTCTGGATTAGGAAAAAAAAACATTATATATTTTTACATCTTTTTATATGTCTGTGTCTGTTTGCACAGGGTTGAAATCTGCATCACCTTCTCATAAAACAGAGAAAAAACAGAAAGAAGCTCAAGTGAGTGGTGCTTTCTTTATCAGTTATATCCAGTACAATGTGTTTTACGTTTATAATTTTATGTTGATAATGTGTTTTCCTGTTTATAATATGTTTTTCTGTTTATAATGTGCTTTTATGTTTGTGTTTTTCTGTTTATAATGTGCTTTTATGTTTATGTGTTTTTGTGTTTATAATGCGTTTTTATGTTTATAATGCGTTTTTATGTTTATAATGTGCCTTTATGTTTAGTGTTTTTGTGTTTGTAATGTGTTTTTATGTTTATAATGTGCTTTTATGTTTATGTGTTTTTATGTTTATAATGTGTTTTTATGTTCATGTGGTTTTATCTTTCAGTATGTTTTTATGGTAATTTGTTTTGAATGCGCATTTAAAAATACAACGATAATAAATTATCAAAGTTTGTGAGAAATTAATCAGTTTTAATGCATCTGCAGCACAGGATATGAGTTTCTTCCAACTTGAAGCTAAAAGAAACAAAACACTAGCTAAAAGCTAAAAGAAAGGTGAAACTAACTGAATGCTATGTAATGTAACACTAAAAACACTAGCTTAAAGCTAAATATAGCAAAGTGCTAGCTATAAGCTAGCAGTATCTAAATGCCAGTTAAAAGTAAAAGTGGTAAATTGATAGCTAATAGCTAACAGTAGCAAAGTGCTAACTTAATAGTAGACACACACTAGCTGAAATTTCAGAGTAGCTAAACAATAGTTCAAAAAAGAAAAAGCGCTGGATAAAGGTCAAGAGCATTAGATGAAAAAAGAGCAAAATATTGTGAAGTGAACATTATTTTAAAGGAATTATAGATCTCAGTTTGTTTTGATGTGGAATTTTTCTGGAAGTAAAACTAGCCAAATGCTAACCAAAAGGTAAGTGTAGCAAAAGGCTGGTAGTAGTAGTAGTAGTAGACATTAGCTAAAATTAGCTACATAAAGAGTAATAGTAAAACATTGCTCACTAAAAGTAGCACAATGCTAGGACAAGGCTAGCTAAAAGCTAAATGTAGCCAAAGGCTAGCTAAAAGTAGCATACGAAAACAAAACCAGAGTTTGCTGAAGTAGACTTCAAAGCAAACAATTTTAAAAGGAATACCGAATCTCAGTGTGTTTTATGGGATTTTTGTTAAAAACAAAACAAAACAAAGTTAAATCTTTTGAAAAGAGCAAAAAAGTTACAAAAAAAAAACTAACCAAAAAACAAACAAACAAACAAACAAAAAAAAAAACAGATGAAATGTTCTGAATGAGTTTAATATTTTGACATTTGAAGTGTTAAAATGGGACAAAGTCTGTACGAATAGTTTCATATCTAAACTAGTACAGAAGGAAAGACAAATAAAGAGAAACAGGATCACTAGTGTGAAACTGCATCAACATTCACACAGTCAACTTTTATTTGGCTTCAGTGAAGACAGGGTTTAATAATATGCCCCTGAATAAAATGCATGTTATCTCTGGGACCTGTTTTATTTTTCTGTGGGATTTGACCTGATTTTCCCTGCTGCAGCGTCAAACCGAGGAAGGTGCCTCTCAGAAGTTGCCCCCTGGTGGTCTGAACCCTGAGACTGCACAAGGTGACAGCATGCCGACAGTGATGCTGCCGTCTCCTTCTTGCCTCGCCCGCTACGCTGCCAGCGCTTCTCCCTGTCTGCGCTAAATCTGCCGTGCTTTTGTCGTACAGCAGCTCCGGAAGCATATCAAATGTGTAAATCTTTCAGAGCACCCTGTGTTTCATGGGCTGTCAGTTAAATCGAAATGTGACCTTGTCGTGTGCTGTAATACTACATCACGAGAAACCAACAAACATATCTGGGACTGACAGGACGTGATAAACACACCAATCTGGCAATCAGAGCTATCATTTTCTGCCATTACTGACATTTCACTCTCATCTTTTTCTATTTTTCTCTCGCCTCTCATCATATAACCTTCCTTTTAATCTAAACACACTATTATTATAACATCTCGCTTTTCAAAATGTCCTTAATAGTCTATTTCTGGCATTTTAAATAATGTTTTGTGTGAATATCTTAAAGAAGACGTTCCCCTGTGGGCACTAGTGTTTACTAGTTTCTGCTGGTTTGAGCTGGGCCTTGTAGCCTGTGGCAAAGCTGCTGTGCTCGCTCGCATCACATATGTTCTGCAGTCCTGTTGCGTCTGTGCCTCCCATCTTTTCTCTCTAAACTGAGCTCCCATCTGTCCTCTCCTTCTTATCCCTCCCTCTGTCTTCCACCCTCAGAGAGGACGGTATGTGGGGTCCAGAGGCAGAGGAAGGCTCGCCTGACTCAAGACCTCACTGAGAAGATCCGAGGACCTCCATCAGCCGCAGAGCAACAGCTGGAGCGCACGGTGCCCCCGGAGAACTGTGAGACAACACGCAGTAGAATTTACTACTTACTGAGCACTGTGCAAAAGATTCACTGAGTCACAGCCATTTTTGTGTTTGCTAAGATGGATAAGCTGTGGTTGGCTTCTTGTATCTGGGTGACTCCAAAAGCTAGTCAGTTGTAGATGTACGTCTAATGATTATTTTATGTGAGTTTCTTTAAACATCTGTCCAGTGGTCCATGAGATATTCTACTAACAGACAGACAAGCGAACACACACATGAACAGACTTAGATTATGACCAGTAAAAAAAAATCACCTTGTTGGTGTTAAAACATGTTTTATTAATCAAAGTCTTTTTTATTATTTTCTTCATTTTGAACATATAAAACACAAAGGACATAAAACAAGGAGGAAAATAAAAACCTCTCACCCCTTCTCTCCCACACCAGTTCAATCACACATACATAAATGAATTAAAATGAATTACACAGGCATTGACAAGTTTTCAACATACAACATAAAAGGCTGCCACGTGTCCCAAAATCTTTTAACGGAACCTTTCAGGGTTTATAACTAAAAAAGTCCATGCTCAGTAATCCAGGTATACAATCCAACAATTTTCAGTCAGGTCATCTGGACAGTTTCTGTTTTTGCTGAAACGTTTCACCTTCTATCCAGAAGGCTTCATCAGTCAAGGAAACACACAACACAAAACTGATTCTTCCCCCAAACAGCTTACTCCAAAGTGGAACAAACCAGTTATGTTGGTGCCAAGATGTTGTCTTTGGCACGCCCCCTCTTCTGGAGCCGGCCCTCTTCCTCGTCAACAGTCATGTCAAACTGGTTCAAAACCAAAAAAGTCCATGCTCAATAATCCAGGTATACAATCCAACAATTTTCAGTCAGG